ATAACACCGAGGGGAAAATGACTTTTCAAAATGTCGCCAGCATAATTATCAGCTTGTCCATTACATTAAATGCCACCATTTATAACTGTAACGTTTTAAGCATGCAAACAGTAATTAAGTTCGTAATGAACTGGGGACCCCTGTGCCTCTCTTCCCTCAGCTAATTTGCATGTTAATTATAATTAGCAACCAGGGAAACAAGTTATAAACATCTTAATTAGCAGCTTAATCATTTTTACAAGGAAATGCGCTCCGCTTTGATAGATGAGCAAGAATTAGATTAATGGGACTCTTTTCTTCCCGGGCGCCAAGTGCACAGGAATGGAAAAGCCACACTCGGCTTGAGTGTGTGCTCACAAATTCACACACTCCTCAGCTGGCAGGCTTACCGCTTGATTTGTCGTAGAGACTGGGCAAACCAGCTCCCCCAAAATTCAGATTTCTGCAGGCAGAAAAAAAAAGTAAGGAAAAAGGACCGTTTTATCTAATGATTCTGGAAGATGGGGGGGGGAATCTTTCTCACAGTTTGCTATTGGGGAGGCTCACCTTAATTTTTTTTTCACTCATGATTTTGTTTCCTTGGGAAAGAAAGAAAAAGAGAAAGGGATAGAGGAAGGGAGGAAGGAAAAACAATTGGAGCACCACTTGAACAACATCATCGGCATTGACAAATTCGCCATTAGTCAATTGCAAAAGGCGGCCTTACTAGGAACTGCTTCCATCCTGCGGCGAGATCAGTAATACCATCAAACATCCACATCTGCCTATCCCAGGTCCTGGGTAAGGATCCGATAGGTAGACAAAAATGCCGGATCCAGTTTGAACATCTGGCTGACTGTGCGATGATCAACAATAACAACAATCTCTCGGGTTCCTCACATCTGCCAGAGTGAAAAAGAAAGAATCCCACCAGGTAGAATAACAGAGCTGGAAGGGACCTTGGAGGTCATCTAGTCCAACCCCCTGCTCAGACAGGAAAACCTACACCCTTTCAGACAAATGGTTAGACTTGCAATTTCAACCTAGAACAAATTTTCACAGCTGGCAGAACCTCAGCTGACTTGCTTTGGAGTTTCTGGACCTTTCCTTAAACATAAAATAAAATAAATCAAACTATTAGGACAGCTGCCTCTCCTACCTGTCAGCTGTCATTCCATCTGTTTTTCTGTTTAAAAATTCATTATTCACCAAAGAAGGAAGACCTGTTGCACACTTTAATATTTAACTAGAAGCGTGCAGATCAGCTTTCCCTGAATATTCTCCGTTTCTCCTTCCGATGGGGTTTGCTGCATCTAAGTAGCCACACAACCCACAGAGAGAGGCGGTAAGTTGCGTCCAGGGTTTGTGCTATTTTATTTTCTTCCGTAATTCCGGGTTCTTAGAATGAGCAGGCGTATCCCTACATAGGAAGACTCTGTTGCCTTTTTTAAGCCAGGCCTTTGGGAAGGCCGGAAAGTTGGAAATGATTTGAGGGCTGTAATATAAAAACGAAAGGAATCTGCGCTAAATTATGGTTTGATTGGCTGCACGTTGCCACAAACCACGTTCACTGGGTTTCTCCACCATGCCTTTTATAGAATAGACTAATTTTGCAATAATGGCAAATATTTCCATTATGGTATTGATCCAATATTTGGTTTTGTAAAATATGTTGGATTGTACATAGGCTAAATAGCTTTTATTTTTTTATTCCTTCAATATGCACAAAGAGTAAACAGAAACATGGTGGAGACCTTGATACTGAGTTAGCAGCTTAAGACAGAAACTTTTATCATACCACAAATATTTTGATATAACGTGCAGTTTTTTTTAAAAAAAAGTTATATTTAGTTCTGTACATTAAAAAAAACTAAATGGT